CGAAGAAGTGGGCTGTAGTCCACCAAAGCTTATGCTCTAATAAATTTGTTAGTCTCTAAGGTGCCACAAGTACTCCTCTTCTTCTTACCCTGAGAGTTCTCTAATCTGATGCTGTTTTCCCACCATACTGTAGCTTAGCTCCTGCTCTCCTTTGGCGTCTGATGCAATCTGGATTTTAAATTGACAATTCTCAAGGTTCTTAGTGAAATTGACTGTTTGCCTTGCCATCCCATCCTCACAAAACATCCACAAAGGTGAAAGATGTGGATAATTTTAAAAATCATGGGATCTGAGGGCCACCGGGGGCCCTTGCAGAACATGGTAGAACGAACCCCTGAGTGCTCTGGGGCAGTCCATCAGCATCCACCCCATCTGCCGCTGGTCACGCACCATCCTTTCTTCTCCACAAGCAAAAAACATACACCTTAAATCTCAAACTGGGGGTCAGGACCTTTCAGGGGGTCGCAAGGTTATTACACGGGGCGTCGCAAGCTGTCAGCCACCACCCCAAACCCCACTTTGCCTCCAGCATTTATAATGGTGTTAAATATATTAAAAAGTGTTTTTAATTTATAAGGGGGGTCACACTCAGAGGCTTGCTATGTGAAAGGGGTCACCAGTACAAAAGTTTGAGAACCACTGCCTTAAACTGTGCTCATGCCATCTAGTGGCTCAACAGCAAAAGCAAGGCCCTTTCATCTGCAGATCCAGGAAAGAGATATGCCCCTAGCCAAGATGTCCGCCACTGAAGCCAGCGAGAGAGTGCTCATTCTGCTGAAAAAGGTGGCTGCAGAGACCCTTACAATTAAAGCTACAGTCGCCAGCCTCCAACCAACAGTATTTGCTATTGAATCCTCCTTGCAGCTACTATCAGATAGTATGTCAGAAGCCAAGGACCCTATTTCCTCAGTAGAAGATCAAATGCAGGGCATGGCTGCCCAAACACCTCAAAAAATTAATTAAAGGGAATTAGCTGATCTGGAAAGCAGATCATGCAGAAACAACCTTAGAATCAGAGGAATTCCTGAGGGAGCAGAACAAGGGAAACCTCTGGATTTTATCCCCAGCCTTTTAACAGAAATTCTTGATCTGCCTGAGGAAGAGCCCGCAGGTATTCGTCACCAAAGCCTGCCCCTGGGGCTAAGCCCAGAGCACTGATCATTAAATTTCTCAGGTTTACAACCAAACAATCCATCTATTCAAGGCCAGGGGGAAGAAAGCTCTGGGGCAATGGTTTCTCAAGATTTTGCAAGGGATATTGTGGATAGATGGCAATTTTGCCAGGCCTAGGGGAGAACAAAAAGGGCTAACACACTACATGGTGGTTTTCTCCATTGTTTCATTTAGTATCGGGAGGAGTGACCTAATCATTCCAAAAACTTCAGGAGGTGGAAAGCTTCATAAATAACCTATAAACTACTTTTGATGTAGTTTGTTTCTGATTATTCTAACTGCTGGCACTTTTTCTTTGACAGCCGTGCAGATCTAACTAGCCCCCATTATGTTTACTCCCCACATACTTTGCCCAGAACTGGTTGTGGTGAAGTTGGATCCCATATATATGCTGTGTGTTTTCTGTATGGGGGTTTTGCTGAAACCTGAATGCCACAGCCTTGCTAACCGTAAATCATCATGCCTGTGATTGCTTTAATGAGCTGCCTGATACTGAGGGAGTAGAAACATAAAACTCCCTCATGCAAACCCTGCACTGGTAGGCAACAGGAATCCTGACTGAACCATTTCCTAACAACCACTAGGTTGCTTTATGCATGGAAAGCTGGCCTCTCATAAAGGTAGTGATGTTGAAAAGCTGCTTCTGCTGCTGCACAGAGGAGCTGAGGAATCTGAAGCCACATACAGAGGCTACAGTGAACAGTGGTGACTCAGGGCTGTCTGCACATTGTTGGGAACCCTGAGAACAGATCTCTGATTTAGATTGTCATTCCATTGCTGGTGGATAGCTGCAGCATGGACCTAGGGATGATAGTAAGGGAAGTTCCCATGCTCACTTTTGCTTATCTCCTTACATTGTTGCAAGATGGTAATGTAACCATCAAACACGTTTAATGTGCAAACTCTTGTGTCTGGGGATACTAGCTTACCTACCTGCACTTCAGGTTGGGGTAATAGTTGTTGGATTATTTGTTTGAAATACAGGAGATGGTAATTCCAGCAGGAATTACTTGTAATCATTTGGTGTAGAGGGTCCCTGACCCAAAACTCTGCTGAGTCCATTGCATCCTACACAACTCAGAGACTGATATAACCATCAGTGGAATGCTTGTTGCATTATGGAATATAAACATCAAACCTTCCAGATCTTCTTTGTTGGGGATGTATCCTGTGTGCACTTGTTATTTATAATACTTTTCAAAGCCATTTAAGGGTTTGGATGGGGGGCAGGGGGACGGATGGACGGATGACAACCCTGGTGAGCAGTGACAAGCTGCTATGCCTGCATCTGCTGGAGTATCAGAGCATTTTAGCTATATTTAGCTTGAAGTGTTCTTTCAGTGCCTGATAATGGATGACATTGATCCCATGTGTTGCCAAGTATGTGAATGTTCATATGTTGATATAATTTTTTTTCATTTTGTTACGTTCTATTTGGGTCTCTTTTGTGCCCCCTTTGCAGTGTCTTTCCCCACCCCTGTCTCTTTCCCCTTCTTCCCTCCTGATCTTTATACTCAGGAAAATTCCACTCTTCATGACAATGATTTCCATCCTGCTTCTGCAGGTGCCTGTAACTAACACTGACATCTCTCCCTAATTTTTCTGCACCTTCCTTGTTCTCTGGAGGTCTGGCAGGTGGTGAGCATCTAGCAAGATAATGATAAATCTGTGGAATAAGTGTCCTGGGGCATTTAACTGATAGACTGCCTCTCTTGGGGGGTCCTCTGTGGGGAGTAGAATGAGATGCAATAGAGCACATGACACAAAATTCCATTACTCTCGTTTGTAAGATCATGCATGACAAAAAATAATTCTTAACAAATTTGTCCTGAATCTGTTTTATTTCCTGGAATATAAAGGGACTTAACACTCCAATTAGAAGAAGAAAGAATTATTTAAGAGAGGAAAGGCAGATGCAGTGCTTTAGTAGGAGACACCTCTGATGAGGCTGCTAAATTAGAAGGTGACTGCTTCCCATCCAGATCCAGACGGCTAGTCATACTCTTCTATATGTATGTACCCACTGTATGTGTACATACAAAGCACTGATCTGAGTCAAGTTCAGATTATCAGGGCAGATTCTTAACATTTAAAGTCACCATAAATGGATCTGAACTAATCATTGCTAATATGAATGAGCCTGACCTTGATGATCCTGAAACCTTTCATCGGTTATTTTACTAAATTGACAGAGAACCCCATATCCCTATTGTGATTGCTGGGGATTTTAATTAAGGGCTTGATCCTTCTGTGGACAAATCTTGCCCTCAGTGTCATAAACTAACTAAAACCAGAATGGCTCTGGAATTGCACATTAAGGACCTGGAACTATGTTATAGCTGGCAGCTCATACAATGAGTTGGGATTATTCATACTTTCCCCCAGTATACGTATCCCATTCCCCTCTAGATTTTTTCCCCTCTTCAGGAACTTGGTTAATTCTGTAGTTGATTCCTGCATGGATAAAATTACTGTCTTTGATTATACCCCTGTAACTCGGAATAGCAACAGATCCAAGTAAGTAACAGCCATGTATATGGAGATTTAATTCTTCATATTTATTAGATCCCTATTTCAACATTTTTATTGGAAAATATATTTGCCTGTTGTTGGAGACAAACGGACTTTCAACATCTTTGAGCAGCCTATTGTGATAGACACCCAAGCCCTCTGTGAGGGGTAGAATTATTAGTTTCACTTTTTCCAAGAAGAGGGAACATGGAGAAAATATGATGGCTCTTGAGAAAAAAGTAAGAGAGCTTGATTTGTCTTATGCCACAGCCCCAGCTTCCGATTTGTTGTGATCCCTGATCAATTATAGA